AGGTAGAGCTCTGGGTCACAGCATGCCCAGTCAAGGAGATGAAAAGATAGCGGCATTGGTCCTGGAGCTGAAGCATGACTTGTTCAAATTGCATACAGCAGCCAAACCACATTACCTTGAATTGTGTTTAGAGAACTTGCCTTTTGCATAATTTTAGAAGAATCCTGGTTGATGTGCATGGCTGAAGACAGACTTTAACTTGGTCTGTTTCTGGGCGAATTGTGTTTTAATTGCCAAGTTGTCGTAAAATGCTGTGGTTAATTATGGACTCTACTATCTAATTTGTCAGTCATTGCTGTTATTTGAAACGTTCTCAGTTGTTTTTACCATCCTTCCACATTGTTCCACTGTTTGCCCTTGAGTTACAGAGGGCTTCATCTCCCTGGACATATCTTAGTAGTGCTGTGGCTGGGCATAAAAATCAGGAAATGGAGGTACAATTAAACATATAAGTGGTAGAGGGGGAAGAATATATCATCAACTACTTGCATACTCAAAATTCCTTATTAAGAAATGGATAAATTATAAATAATCACAAGCTTAAGAGATCAGTTTAAGTAATCCATTCATATTAGCACTGTACATATAGTCCTGTTTATGGAAAAGGAATGGTGGGGAGCAGTGGTTGTTAGAAATCTAGGGCTTGGGGGTGGGAAGAAGCAGTCAGTTCTCTTCTTCCTTTTATCCTTGTGTGATAAATACTCCTGGAAAAATGAGGAATTGATAGTGATCTTGAAGCATCTCTTTTTAAATGTCCATGTCCATCCCTTGAACTCTTTGTTTACACTGTAGTGGAGTGCTGGCTGTAAATGAAAAACGAGTGTCAAGTGTAGACCTGTGACTGTGAAGGGATAGACTAGCTGGCTGTTGACTGTGACTGTTTCAATTGCTACTGTCTTTGTACAGTCAAAAGACACCGTATTTTATTTCAGCAGGGGGAAGTATTTATTATTTTATTTATTTTATTTTATTATTTTATTTATTATTATAGTTACTTTAAAAGCACCTAGTTATTTCTTGGCTGAACTTATAAAGGGGAAGAGAGTCTACTGAAAGTAATGCTAAAAGGCTTAAAAATTTCCTTTCTGACAGTGACTTTTAATGTTAAGAGGGATTATTTCTTACATTCCATAGAGTTAATAGATAGATTGATCCTTGTCCTCTAAACCTATTTGAGTGTCAACATTCATATGTCAAGGGCTAATTAAGACTAAGTGAAGGGCCCTCCCTGGTGGCGCAGTGGGTTAAAACACTGCACTTCAGCTAAAGCCACTTCCGCATGCGTTTGATCCCCGCCTGCCCCACAGGTGACCATGTGGCTCAGCAGACCTCTCCTGACCCGCCCGCTGCTCCCCTCAGCAATGTACTTTGTCATTCTGCCTGTTCTGCCCCCCACTCTGTCTTTGGTGGCTCCTCCCTCCCTCCACATCTCTGGCCTGTACCCCAGTTCTGTATGCATAATTTATGCATAAATGAAATCTTCAAAAAAAAAAAAGACTAAGTGAAAACAGTAATATCTGGATTCATCTCAAAGGAGAAAAATTTGTGATTTTACACACACCTCTTCACTGGCCTCTTTAGATAGCTAGGATTGGAAGGAAAGACACTCAAAAGAGTTCAGCATGCTGGTGCCCCCTCAACCAGTTTGGGAAGTAGGGGCACTCCTTTTCAAAGTGGCAGGATAGAAAGCTGCCCAGCTTCCAATAACGACCACCTGCAGTCATCTCCAGCAGAAGGGGCCAGCCAGTGCCCAGCAGGTGGTACTGCCCTCTCCCTGAACGAGGCCTGTTCTCAAATAGTATGTGTGTAGCAGTATCAAATTCAGAAAGTTCGGGATGTTAAGTCATCAGCATAAGGGTTAATTCTGAGCTGTTCTGCTCACCATACATCCATCTAGTGCCATAAAAACCTTTGGGTGGCTTTCCATCAGTTGAAGTGTGTTCTCTATGTGTGTGAACAGCCAGAAAAGAAAGCCACTATTGAGGTATATAATGCAGAAAGGGGATGGGAATGAAAGCTGACCTTCTGGAAATGCTTTTTTTTTTTTTTTAACATTGGGATAACTCCAGTAACCAAGTAGAATTTTCTGATACATTGTCAAATAGAAGTGCTGAGGTTGAGAGTGAGCTTGAAGTATTTCAGCTTAATGAACATCTTAGAGGGCAGGGTAAGAAAAGCAAGCTCTAAATACAGATATAAAAGTTACAGCTTGACCTTTCCTATGGCACTGTGTTATCACTTCCCTATGGAAGCATAATGCATTCAGCATTCACTATAAGTGCAATTCATTAGTATTACTTGTTTGCCCTAAGAAAGTTTAAGGGTCATTCGGCCCCCAGATGTTGCATTGGCTCCAAATGCTGATGTACTGTTGTCTCTTTGTTCCCCATCATGCTGTGACACCACCTCCTCTTTGTGGTAAGAAAATAAAAGCAGTTATAAAATGACGCTACGTTTAAAGTTTCTCTGATTTAAAACCAGACTTTTAAAGCAGAAAGTAATGTAATAGCTCATGACATGTGAATTCATTCCATGCCTTAATCTTTACTTAGTTTTTTCTTTGTAACCAACTTCTCTCCTCCCACCTTCCACCCTCAGTCTCCTTCCAATGATTTCAGAATAAATAGTGAGAAATTTAGGCCGTGTCTTAATGGAAAAGAATAAAGGGAGATTCTTTTATGGTAGCCAGATAAATAGTTTGATCTTCTGTCATTAAAACACATTGCCAGGCCCTCCCTGGTGGTGCAGCGGGGTAATGCACAACACTACGAAGCTAAAGCCGCTTCAGCATGAGTTTGAGCCCCACTCTGGAGGTGACCCACATAGCACAGCAGACCTCTCCTGACCCGCCCACTGCTCCCCTCAGCAGTGTACTTCATCAGTAGGCCTATTCTGTTCCCCTCTCTCTCTCTCTTATGAATCCTCTCACTGCCCCTGAACCTCTAGCCTGTAGCCCAGTTCTGTATGCATAAATAAGTAAATCTTTTTTAAAAAAAAATGCCAAAGTAGTGTTCCTAACTACTGGTCTTCAGTTTCTATAATGCTCATGGATGTTCTCTTTCACCCAGCAAACATGTATTGAGCAATATTTTTTTTAGTGAAAGGGGGAGAGGTATTCCAGAGAGGTCAAGATGAGCCAAGGTAGGAATGCTGTCATTCCTCAGGACAATCCTAAGAATCAGGACAGAATGTGAATGTGCAGGCAAAGGGTGTGGAGGAAAGAAGGGTGTTGGGTAAGATGGTCCAGGCCTGGAGGAGGGTACCAGGGATTTGGCCCTTGATCTTGTTAGCACAGGGGAGCTGTCTAGAGTTCGTGAGCATTCAAATAAGGTGGGGTGTCCGGGGGCGCTGGAGCTTCTGGGGTGGACAGATCTAGGAGGCAGAGGAGCAGTTAGAACAGTGTTGTTCTGATCCTGGCTGGAGATGGGGGGCGTAGGGGCCACCAGCAGGTTGGAAACCCTTACTATCATTGCGTTTGTGTTTTCAAAACCAGCATCCATGGTACATGACGCAAAGTTTGTGCTCAACAAATAGTTGGATTTAGACTAATTGAGTGGAAGATAAAAATGGGGAGGAAAAAAATGACTTCAAGATGTTTACCTTGAGAAGCAAACATAGGAAGGCTGGGACGGGGGTTGGGAAGAGAAAAGCCCATTCCTGGTGAAGAGGTTTGATTTGAATTGCTGTTGAGGGCATTCACAGAGGTGTCTGGAAGACAGCTGGAGAAGGCAAGGCGTTTCCAAGAGGGGACAGATGGCTCTCAAGATAGGTCTGCCTCTTGCCCTTTGGTGGGCTTGAGTCACACCTTTTAGTGTCTGCTCTTAGTCTTTTCCTGTTGTACTATGTCTCACTGTCATCTGTGACCCCTGCTGTGCCTGAACCCCCCCGGCCCTGCCCTGCTGTGGAAGGTGCCCTTGTAGGCAGCTGCCATAGTTCAACAGGTCAGGTGTTACCCAGTGCCGTGTGAAGTTATCTGACCATGCAGACCCACAGCAAACTGTCCTCTTAAGAAAATCCAGTAGGCTCTCAGGGACAGCTGTAGCCTAGCATCGAGTGTGGTGGACTTAGAATCAAGAGGCCTGGCTGATTGAATGGATGGCTTCAATTCCATTCCCTTGGCTCCAGAGTGAGCATGGCCCACCCCACTCCAAGAGTCAGAGGGTGTGTGCGAGCAACCGCTTCTGAAATAAAAGCTCATGGCTAATGAAGTCCATTTTACCCTTCGTCATAGCTGGTTCTATCATCTGCTAGAATCCCAGCCGCTGCCCTCTGGCCTGCTTAAGTAGAGGAGGTGAGGGGGTGGGGGTGGTCTGTGCCCTGACCACAGGCTGCTGTGCCTGTCTTGAGCGCAGTCAGCAGGTGAAGGATCCTTGACCTTGGAAGTAGAATTATTAGGCAGGCACACCTTTACTCCACAATGGGATATAAATTCAGTAATTCCAATTAAATTCAACTGCATCTAGGCATTTTTACATGGGGGTTCTGTATCAAGCACATTTGTAAAAAACTAAATAGTAAAATCTGAATATGCAGTCCAAACTTGAATAATAAAATTGGATTAACAAAGGGGCTTACAAAGAAGGTGACAGTCTCGTGTGGTCATACAGTCTGAGAGAGCTGCTGCAAGAAACTAGAATTAATCGCTATTAATGCCACGGGGGTTCAGGCCCCCCACCCTGCCATAGTAGGACGCAGCATATGCAAATCACCCCATTGAGTTCTGGCAGTTTGGAGAAACATACATGTTTTTCATCCCTTTTATTTTTGACACCTCCTACTCTATCCCCCTCCCCGCTCCCCACCCTTAAGGCAGGGTTCCAGCTGTTCCTCTAGGACACCGTTGAGGGGGAGTTTCTTCTGTGGGCTTCCAGCTGGCTTCATTTTCACTATCTCCATGAAGTTGCTGCCTCTGTCAGATTTATGTGCTATGATCCATCATGCATTGCCTTGGGGTTTCCCCTCTGAATTGTTGACTTCATGTTTTTGGTTTACACATGCAGGCTGTCTCCTGGTTCGGACATCTATGTGACGGTCTCATCCATGGCATTAGCAAGATCCCAGCAGTGCCGCAACTCCCCGAGCAACCTGTCTTCCTCCAGTGAGACGGGCTCGGGCGGCGGCACATACAGGCAGAAATCCATGCCCGAAGGGTAGGTATGCCACCAGCCTGTCGTGAGGCTCAGTTGTCACCTCCGTCTTTCCTCTGAAACTCAGACACATGAAATGACTTCCAATCAGCTCAGTTTGAGGAATTTAGAAAAAGCCAAAGAGAAAATGTGGTTGGTAGATAGAAAAGTTTTCGTAACTGGCCCAAACCACTTCTTAGGAAGTTTATCATCTACTCTAAGGGACTCAGTGGCAGAGAAATCAAATAGCATTTGTTTTTATGTTGTGTGCTATCTTCTTCATCATAGTGCAGGTTTTCTCCCTTATTTTCCTCCTGCGTGAACTGCTGGCTCTGACTGGAGTCAGTATTATACTGTTAAAGGAAAGAAAATGATCATACCCAACGCTTGAAATTATTTTCTCATACATTAGAGGTCTTTGTGATTTCATCCTGTGGGTGGGTGTTTTTTTCTTTTTTCATTTTGAAAACACTAAACATCCAAAAGTAACTATTTGTGTCTAACAAAGTATAAAGCTCAATTTGCTCAATTTAGATGCTACTGAAGGGAGGGGGAGGGGGAGGGCCAGTGAAAAGATTGAAATATCTGAAGCTGGAAGTAATTGGCAGCCAAGCACTAGGGGGCGGGCACCCACCAGCCACCCAGGCCCAGAGGCAGAAGGGAGCCTCAGACTTCCTGCCGGGCACCCACAAGCCACCCTGGCCCAGAGCCAGAAGGGAGCCTCAGACTTCCTGCTGGGAGAGCTCTCAGGGGAACTGGAAGAGAAACTATTTGAAAGTCAACTCTGAGGTGTTTAAAAGCTGATGTTTCTGAGTTTCCCCCAAATATATTTTTAATAAATAAATACGCACAGTCTGTTTTCTTTCTTGAGATTTACCACATTACAGCTTAGTCCTGCTTACTGAGACTACCTTCATAATGGGTTGTTTTTCAGTTCTGCAGTATTTTGTTGGTTTTTACAGCTGTTGTGATTTTTGTTGTTGCTAAATGTTTGTTAGCAGAAAGTAGGTAGGCAGTAAGACCATTGTAAAAGTATGCTACCCCTTCCCCATCATAGTTCTACAGGATTCCCTTGGTAGCATATCTGAAGTGCACATTTCTTATTTTAATTACTTCACTGATAATTAGAAAAAATTTTTAGCTCTTACTCATAAATCCCTGAAAAGGTTCTGAGTTAAGTATTATCATTATTTTACCACACCACAAGCCCCCTAATTATTTCTTTCTTTAATTAGTAAGTTGAAAATGGTCTGGTTTGACTTCAACATAAGAATTCGTTTCAACTTCAGTGTTAGCAGAATAAAACATAAATGAACTAACCACAACAAACAAAAGCATTGTTTTCTTCTGACTATGTTAGACTTAAAAATGTATATCAAAAATTTAACTTGAGGCCCTCCCTGGTGGTGCAGCAGGTTAAAGCACTGCACTAAGAAGCTGAAACCATTTCCGCATGAGTTCGATTCCCGCCTGCCCCGGAGGTGACCACATGGCGTGGCAGACCTCTCCTGACCCGCCCGCTGCTCCCCTCAGCAGTGTACTTCGTCAATCTGTCTTTTCTGCTCCCTGCTCTGTCTTTGGTGAATCCTCTCACCCTCTGCATCTCTGGCCTGTACCCAGTTCCGTATGAATGAATGAATAAATAAATCTTCCCAAAAAAATTATTAAAAAAAATTTAACTTGAAACATTAGTGTTTGTGAATATTAATATCAGAAATGTGGTTTCTGAATATTAACATCAGAAATGTGGTTTCGATGTCCACGCTGCTTTTAAAATGAGGTTGAAAACACTCAACGCAAGGTATAATACTAAACCCAGTGATGTTAAGGGTTTCCCCTTTGTGCTGCGACCAGTGATTAGTCATCATATTGTGTAGCATCTTTTCCTGGGGTGACCTTTCTTATCCGTACACCTTCTCTCATTCCCACATAGTTTGTGCTTACCTGTCAGTGAAGCAGGAATGTGACTAGTACACAGTGATTGTCCACACGTGAAGCCTACTTCTCACCTCTGTTGTTCTCCCTCTGTGTGGGTGGCCCAGTGTCTGTGTGTTCTGAAGCATGGCTGCCCACTCCCTGGCCTGAGGATGTTGAATCTATACAAGTCAGCTGAGAGGTGGAAATTTAGTCAGGTGGGTAATAGTAGTGAGTGAGGAGGGACTGGCACCTGCACAGTTTAGGATGCAAATGAGGTCATGACAAAGCACCCCTGTTTACATACTAGAGATGGAATGGCTCAGTCGTGTGGTATTTTTACTTGTTTTCCTTGTTGGTGGTACCAGTTTCCATTTCCACCAATGGTGGCTTGGGCTCCTTTGTCTCCACATCCCCTCTACGCCTGGTTCTTATCATTTTGATTATGGCCATTCTGTCAAGTGTGAGGTGGGATCTCGATGTGGTTTTAACTTGCATTTCCTTGATACTGTATAATGATGAGCACTCTTTCATGTCCTGTGACTATATGCCTGCCTTCTTTTGAAAAGTATCTCTTTAGATCTTCTACCTGTTTTTTGTTTGTTTGTTTGTTTGTTTTGTTTTTATTGTCATTGAGTTGTGTGAGCTCTTTATATATTTTGGCTATTAATCCCTTGTAGGGAATTCTCCCAGGCAGAAGTTGCCTTTGCATTTATTGTGGTGGTTTCTAGTGTGATAGTCATTTATCAAGGTGTGAAACTGTCCTCCTGAAACTTACGTTGTGTCCAGTGGTATCTCAATAAAAATAAATATTTTTTAAAAATGTTTTGACAAAATAAAACAAACAAACAAAAATACACCAGAAGGCATAGTATCTATCACTGGGGAGATTTTTTTCTGGATTACACATGGGCTTGGCCATAGGGAAGGTTGCTGAGGAAGTGAGGAACTTCTCTGAGGATATGCACCCTGTAAGTGAGAGCTGAGACCACCATGGCTCTTTCAGCACTCTTAGGTGAGGGATAACACTGTCAGTGAGGGCAACTGTGACCAAGTGAGACTTACAGAGAAGACTTCTTTAGACCATTATAAGGAACACAATGGGAAGCTGTCAGCCCCTCCAGTGAGGACTGAGGGGCTCATGAGTTAGGACTCCTGGTCACTGCATTTTGTGCAGCAGTCAGATGATTGCTTAGAAACCCCCTTAAAGCTGAACTGTGACTGAAAAACCAGTGGGTGCTCCAGCAAACAAGGTGTGACAGAGCCCTTCCAAGAGCAGCACCTGTAAAAAGGACAGGTTTGGTCTGAGCTTTGTGGGGGTAGGGCTTCACGTCCCTAGCAGGTTGGCACACAGTAAGGGAGACATGGGAGAGGAATTTGAAACATTGAATGAAAATGGTTTTTTTGTTTGTTTGTTTTTTAAGATTTATGTATTCATACAGAACTGGGGTACAGCCAGAGGTACAGGGGTGGTGAGAGGCTTCACCAGAGACAGAATGGGGAGCAGAATAAGCAGATTGACAAAGTATACAAGTACACTGCTGAGGGGAGCAGCGGGTGGTGGGTCAGGAGAGGTCTGCCGTGCCCTGTGGGTCACCTCCAGGGCAGGGGATTGAACTGGCACTGAAGTGGCTGTGGCCAGCTTGTAGTGCTGCGTCCTAAACCCATTGTACCACCAGGGAGGGTCTGATGAAATGTTTTTCAAGGTTTATTTGTTGTTTAACACCAAATAGCCAGAAAAGCACTTAGCCTAAAATTCAGAAGTTTAAAATTAGAAGCAAAGTTAGAATCCATTTCTAACTTTTCTCTTTCTGCATTTCTTAAAAAATATTAATTCATTGTATTAATTCATTAAAATCTAGAATAGAAGTATAGGATCAATTTGAATCTGTTTCCTTTTCTAAACTAGCCAATGACCCTATTGTTTAAGGAAATGAAGAAGATCATAATTAGTGATTTTTTTCAAATAAGCACTTTCACTGAAATGTTCATAAATCAAGGTTTTTGTTTTCAATAATAGAAGTAATTTTGTTGAGTGAGGTTTATGATTGTGTTTGCAAATGACTGTCATTTGTGGCATTTGTGGAAAAGTAACTAGGGAGATGGTACAGTAGGAGTTTTATTAAAATATTTAATAACCTTCTCTTCTTTGCCAATGTTTTTATGTAGATTTCCCTTCCTGGCTCCATACAGTGGGGTTGCCAGTTTACAAATTAAAGAAATGGAGGTGACTGGAGTCCCCCTGGGTGGGGGGCTGGAACTCAAGCATCCTCTTTCATCTCCTGCTCTTTCCAGTATGCCACTTGCTGTTCCGCCCCTGTGTTTATCTGTCTGGGGAGAATAAAAGAGACATCACACGCATCAGTTAAGTCAGGCCCTGTTAGTCTTTTATTGTATAGACTACTTGTAAGTTCATTAGTAACCACAGATTTGTAAATTTCCACATAAATATTTGAATTTATAAGTCTGGTTCTTTTTTGTGGGCTCCATCAGTATTTACTTTGCTGATAGTGCTAGCCAAGGCATATACTTTAAGAATACGTTATGTTGTTATTCTACATATGGAAAACAACTCTGGGCTCATTAAACAGCTAAATGTTCTTTCCTGAAGTAGGCTTTTACCTTCAACATATACTAGTTTGCAGACTTCCAAATTGCCCTTCCCACAGGCAATTTAAAATTGATACATTTTGAAAATGGTCTCTGTGTCATGTAAATGGTAGCAGTCTTTGTCTCTCAGACCTTACAGTAACTGCTCAGAAAATACTTGTTTGACAATGAATGACATGGTGATTTAGCAAATTATCAGCCTAAAAATGAAACAACCCCCTGAAAGATGCCCATTGAAAGGTATACTTGGAACATAGACATGGGGAAATGTTCCCTTCGGCTTTGAGTGAATCTGAGCTTGGTGACATAGGCTAGGAGACTTTGTCTGTTCACCCTGTGTGTCTTAGGTCCCCTGAGCCCGGATGGCCCCTGCCCCGGCTGCAGTCTGTGCTCAGCACACATGCCTTTCTGAACAGAGCAGTGCTGCGGACCGCGCTCTGCACGGTTCTGCACCACCACGAGGGTGCAGGCGCGAGTCCACACATGTGAGCAGAGCTGGCGCTACTGGTCATGCGTCTAGTTTATCCACCTCGGTGGGTGAGGACTCTGATGTCATCTTCACTTTGTTTGGGGAAATTGCCACAGGTTTGGAGTGAGCCGCAGATCCCCAGCCTCCATCGACAGGCAGAATACTCAGTCGGACCTCGGTGGCAGCGGGAAGGCCACACCCAGCTGGCAGAGAAGTGAAGACAGCATTGTCGACCAGTTGGGTAAGTCACTCACTTCCGCGAGAAGCAAATCACCTTGCTGATTTTTTTACACTAAGGTGACTTTGACCAACTCTTGATGATGTCAGCAAATCACTCTGATATAATATCACCCTGGTTAATAAACATGTATTCGAATTGAGGTGTGGTTAGATTACAGTATGTGAAAGCAACAAAAAAACCTGAGGGGAAAGGCAGGGAATTCTAAGTAAGCTCAAATGTTAAAATAGAAAAGGCATAAGAATTATTTATTTTCAGCCCAAGATTAGATGTTCAAGTCCCAATTATCTCTCTTCTCCCTTGTTTGTTTAGCCTAGAATAAGTGCTCGGAGGGATGTGTTGGTTTTCGTAATGTTGGGTTTTAACAAGTAAGAACTATGTGCAAGTGAAAAAGAGGTACAGTTGTGCAGTCACAGATGTGACTTGATTAGGACTCTCCTGCCTTCGTGCATTTCCCCCCACACTGCTATTCAGCTGTCAGCTAGTGAAATGTCTTAGCCGTATAAAACAGCTGGATGGAGAAGATGCACCTTGGCCTCATTTGGATCTCTGGTCCTTAGCCTTTCTGCCTCTATACGCAATTATTCTACAGTAATACCAGATCACTGACGCGATAAAATTTCCACATGCACCATGATTATTCCAATACAGTAGTATCAGGGTCTTAGTAGCAGTATGTGGCGAGAGCCAAGACCTGAATCTCGAGTGTTAGGTGTTTTGGTTCCTTCATTTTATCTCTAGTAGCATTACCAGCCTTGCAAGATAAAAAGTTTCAGGACTAAGAAAGATGAACTTACAAGGCAAAGACCCATCTTTTGTATCTTCTCTGCAAGTGTACCCTTTTGTTCTGTTTCAATGACTGTGACCCTATGAACACGCTAGTGGAGCTGTGTCAGGCAAAGGCCTGAGTTGAAGAAGAAAAATGTAATTCTTAGGTTCTGAGGAGATGCTTTGTTCCAGTAACTTCAGTGAGATGTGCCTTGTTGTTAAAGCCATCTGCCATTCCCCACTCTCCTCCCACCCGCCACAGAAAACGAGCATACTCTGCTCTGCTGCTCTGCTATTGACAGAATGTTTTGAATCCCACATGTTTTGATCCTGTTGGGATGGTAACGACGCATGTGTGAAGGCTCCCTTCTTCAGCATGACTTTACCAGCTTTTTTTGGCTCCTGGTGCTGGCTTTGCGCAAAGCCACCAGCATCTCTTGTGTGGTGTGCAGGGTCACACTTCCCGCTCCTGTGAGGCCCCACGGGGAATGAAAAGGCATCTTGGGACTGGAAAGGATAATTATAAGGTTCTTCCTAGATCCCTATTCATTCCCTCGTGTGAAACTCCCTCTGCCCATTTTCCCTTGAGCCCATTTTAGTCACTTTCCACTGTAAGTAGGTAAAACTGAAACTTATGGTGATGGGTCTTTGCTGCATATTTGTTCATCCTCTTAGTTAAGGTACTCCTTTGTTTTTATTATTAAGATAGTCCTTTGAGGCTGCTAGAGAAACCTTTCACGACGTGGTAACCTTTCTCCATCCAAACTCTAAAGCTTCAAATAAAATGCTAAGATAAATTTTTTATAATTTTTGGTTTTTATAGTATTCAAGGAGAATTAGCTTTTTCTAATTAGTACATCAGGAAAACCTGGGTCTTTTTCGATATAAATCATGCCAGAAGAAAAGCAAAAAAAAAAAAACACATTTCCAGCACTCAGGAACAAAATTGTCTGGTGAATGTAGGCCTATTGATATTATGGAGGAGATTCTTGTTAGCCATACCCTCCTGTCCTTGTACATCTCGTGTTATAAACCAGCACCCCATTGAAGGCAAGGAATTGAACTTAATTGACGCACTCAGTGGATGTTGCTTTTCTGCCTTTCTGCTTTTGGAAACGGTTGAGAGTCAGAGTGTGCTGCCCAGCCTTTGTGTGCTAGGACTGTGTCGCAGAAGTCCAGAACTGCCGCTGTTAGCTGTAGGTGTGTTAAAAGGATAAATGGCTTACCTTTCACCTTTGGAACCCCATCTTGAACAGCAGCTTGGAGTCCAAAAGGAAGCAATTGTTTTAAGTAAACTAGTTGCTGTGTGTCTTTTCTGTTGTGCTTAGCTTACAGTTATAGAGGACCTCAGGATTTCAATTCTTTTGTCCTCGAGCAGCATGAATATACAGGTAAAATATTTCCAAAGTGTCATGGTAAGTAACACGTGATTGCATCCATGCCTGTCTAGGTAATGTAGACCAAGCCAGGTTAGCCACACTTTGCAATGAATGAACATCATAAATTTAATGCATAGACACTAAACTTTCCCTCAAAGCCACAAAGTTGACTCCTAACTTTGCCGCGTTGTTCATGGCCTTTGGTTTGGTGGTACTTGGCTATGCTAATGTGTATGACGTGACACACTGTCACCAGCTGCAAGCTTTATCCATCAGCCACTTAGTTTCTGACATGCTGTCTGTTGTGTAAATCTCAACAAGCTTCTTGCTGAAATTCAAAGTTGGCTGGTCAGTGAACTGAGAGATGCAATGGCAAGCCGTCTTCATTTGTCAGCTTGTGCTTTTACCTGGATAGGGCTTGCACTATAATGGCCTGTGCTGTATTCCAGAGCCAACGTGCCATCTCCCCGCAGTATCAAAAGTACTGCCGACTTTCCGAGAGAGCCCCAGTGGGAGGTTAATGCGGCAGGATCCAGTGGTGCATTTGTCTCCAAACAAACAAGGACACGTAAGTTAACTGTATAGTACTGAGAACTAGAGTCCTAGCGCAGTGCCTTCCATGCAGTGCGGACGTGGTGCCAGCCGGCCATGCCTTCCTTCCACCCTGTCATGGAGGAAGTCAGCCTGGCAGAAGTGGGTCGGTCCTGCTGTGGGCCTGGAGTCCTACTGCAGCGGCCCTAATGTTGCTTTGACATAGCTGTAGTTCCTCATGGGTATGCATCTGCCACCCAATGGGTCTGCAGGAAGACTGCCCAGTCACAAACAACCCTAACATGTTAGAAGTCAGAGGTGCCAGAAATGAACTTTACTTGCTTATACAATTGTAGGCATGAGCATCAGTCAAGGAAACAGACTGCTTCATGATCTCCTCCAGCAGCTTCACTTATGTTCCATCACTACTCACATTATTGTTCCTTTCCACTAGTAGTTTCATCACCCCCCAAAAAAGCTCTTTGCCCTTAGGTGGTCACCCTTATTCTTCTATCCCCTCCAAGCCCTGGCCACACACTAATCTTCTTTCTGTCTTTATGTATTTTCCTGTTCTGAAACTTCATATAAATAGCAACATGCAATAGGTGGCCATTTGTGTTGGCTTCTTTTAGTCAGCATAATGTTTCCAGAGTTCTCCACATTGTAGCACATGTCAGTACTTCTTTTCTTTTTATGACTGAATCATTATAGGAACTTACCACATTTTTTATCTGTTCATCAGTTGATGGACAATTAGACTTGTTTCTGCCTTTCTGGCCATTATAAATAATGGTGCTATGAACATTCATGTAGAAGTTTTTGTGTGAACATATTTTCATTCTCTTGAGTGTGGACTTACTACCATGTTCCCACAGTGGCCAGCCCCCGGTTCCCTTCCCCTTACCAGTGCCACCCAGCATTGTCTTCTGCCTTTTGATGACAGCCATCTTGGTGGGTGTGAAGTGCTTTCTCACTGTGTCTTGGTTTGCCTTTCCCTAGTGAGTAGCGATGCTGAACCTTTCTCATGTGTTCCTTGGCCATTTGTCCATCTTGTGTGGAAGATGTGTCCGTTCAGATCAGATCCTCTGCCCACTTTTAAATGAGGGTTTTTGAAGCACAATTATTGATGAAGTCCAGTGTCTTTATTTTTACTTTTTGCGTTTTTTGGTGTCATAGCTAAAAAGTAACTGCACAACGCAACCCATGAAGATATATATACCTGTGTTTTCCCCTAAGAGCTTGGGAGTATTTTAGCTCTTACATCGCAGCCTCTGTTTTTCTATTTATCTACATTTGCATGTAGCTATACAGTTGTCCCAGCACCATTTTTGGAAAATACTACTTCTCCCCCTGATGAATTGTCTTGGCACCTCCTATATAAATTTTACCTCTAAGCACTCCTTAAAAATTAGCTGTCTCATTCTGTGGGGGTGGAG